CCCCCCGAGGTGTGGGGTGTTCCTTTGGACACTGTTGGCTGGGCGGGCAGGAGAAAGGGGCTCAGGGGGAGCTGGCAGGCGTCGCCGGGGGAGTCCGGGGGTATCTGGAGGATCAAAGGGGAGGTTGGGGCAGTTGGAGGGTTTCCCACCAGACCAACTGTCCCACAACAAGTCACGCCCTGCCAGGTTGTGTTGTGTCATCCCATCCCATCCCATCCCATCCCATCCCATCCCATCCCATCCCATCCCATCCCATCCCAGGAGAGCAGCTGGAGCTGTGTGATGCCCAAAGCCCCACCACCCCCATCCCCTGCCCCACCACTGACCCCCCTGTCCCAGCAGAGCCGGTGCCACCCCCGACCTGTCCCCACAGCCCTCCACGGGTGTCCCCACCCCAGGGATGTCACCTGAGAAGAAGGCACAGCTGTAGTTGCTGTGTTTGCCCAGGGGGCTGAGCTGGATGTGGTTTTCATCCTCTCGGTGGGTGACACGAAAGGTCTCGAAGGGTGGGATGAGGACTTCCTCCTCCCAGGGCATGACAGAGAAGTCCTCGATTTTGGCGCCGTGGCAGGTGTCCAGCTCGAAGAAGGTGTCAGTGCCGAACTTCTTGGCCTCCTTTTTGCTCAGGGAGGAGGAGGTGAACTGGCCAAAGCGGACGATGTCTCCGGGCTCGGCAGTGAAGCGGATCCCTCGGACCCCCCGGAACACGTGCAGGCAGCGGGGGTGGCTCGGGGCATCCCACAGGTCCTGCAGGGCCGTGGTCAGCAGGAAATGCATCATCTTGAAGGGGAAGTTGTGCAGGTATTCCTGGCGGGAGCGCCCGGCCTTGGGCACAGCCCTGTTGAAGTCCCTGTACAAATCTGACTCCATCGTGTATGCCAGGAGGGCAATGGCCTGTTCCTTCCAACTCAGAGATTTCCTGTCATTCCTTCTCTGCCACTCGGCAGTGGCCTTGGCCCAGATCTTGGTGAACTCGCTGTTGGGGACAAACTCGGAGCGGTTGAGCTCCGGCAGCTTCCTAAACATTCTGTCCCGGCAGCCCCGGTACTGGTCATCGAAGGCGTTGGGGGCCATGTCCAGTGGCATCTCCTCGATGTGATGGTTCCACCGGAGGAAGCAGTTGCCAGTGGCCAGCAGCCCCAGCACAAACAGCAGCACCAGCAGCACCA